TTATGCCATGAGTTACACTTTTGCATATCCCATTACACTATTTTAATTAATTTACTGTGCCCCACACTTACCCTCCTGCCGGCTGTCAACTCAAATGCCCTGTGTCTGCGCTGTTCTACTGTGTGAAAGGGCAGTGGCACTTGGGCAGCTGTCGCAATTCCCTACTCCAATTTCCATATCAGCTCTTTAAAGCGTCCATGGTTTAAGGTTGGTGCACATACATACATACATACATACATTTATGGTATGCATGTATTTTTGTACACAGTTACGTTTCTAGTATATTTGTTGTTTATATACTTTTGCAAATATATGCCTATATTTTGCTTTGCCTACAATTTTGGGTGTGTTTTCTTGCTACTTCGCAGCTAATTTTTGCCTTTTCATATTTTGCACTTCATAAATGTTTCACCGGTTGCCAGGTTTCTCGCTGTTTTGTTTAGGACAACAGTCTATTCAAGGAAAGCAACAACGAGGAGAAAGCAAGTTTTTTGTTGCATAATTAACGGTTAATGTTTAAAGTCATAATTAGTAATGTGATCATTAGATGGTCGTAAAGTAATTATGTAACTGTAAATAATCCTGCAATTTTTGTTGTTGTTGTTGATGTTGTTTTTGTTGGGTGTAAAGCAAAGTTCAAGACCATTGGCAGTACAAAATAATTACCAAGCATTTTTCCGGTTATAACTATTTCCACGAATTAGAGTGAACACCACGAGTGTGTTAAAGAAAATTAAATTTAACAAGGGCAAGTTAAATTTATGCACAGCCGAGAACTGATGAGAAATTGACATATTTAGAGTTTGCCCTAACAATTCCACTACAGCGCCACCTAGCGTTACAATAATTTACTAACATATTTTTCTTCTACTGAACTATTTATAAGATTACGACTATATAGCGGCAATGAATCAGATCTATTGTCTGATTTTTTTTTTTCATAATGATCTGGCATCACTTACTTTTCTTTTCTTGCATAGAACACTCTGCGTGTTTGCACGACTTCTTTTTAAACTTGAGCAAAAAAGGTTTAGCAGTTTTAAGGGCTATAGCATACATACAATACATAAATTCACAGGTTTATGGCAACTCTAATATAATATATTTGTGTTTAAAAAATGTTAAATTCTGTTTCAAAACTTGAGCTGCCTAAAGCTTATTTGAAAACTGTCGCTTTGTTGTCGTTATTGCAGTATTCGGTGTGAAATATATATTTGGTTGTATAGTTTTACTTTTTTTTAAAGGTGGCAACTCTAGTTAAAATTTGTTTTGTGCTTTTCAAAAGCTTGACATTTGATAACTATTTTTTATTTGTAAATGGAATTAGAATATAAATAATAATAAATACAGAAAGGTGGCTACTTGAAAATATGCTAATAGTGGAACATTCTCCGGGCTCCTACAATATATTGTTGATCAGCGTTAACGATTTAAAGGTTACTGAGCTGATAAAACTCATAAATACATATCTATATTATTTATATTAAAGTACGAACATATATATGTATGTATATACATATATATATACATTTCATTGTATATTTATATGCCTTTGTGACCATTGTATTTAATATATATATTAAGCTGTAGCTACAATACATTTCAGCTTCGCTGTGTTCCAATAATTCAAACAGGTTTTCAAAACACGCCTGAAATTATGATAAAAAGATGGCGTTCGTTTCTAAACTTCATTTGTTTATACGTGAATGAAGCATACTTTTAGGCGCTATATTTATAATACACCGCGAAAAAAACTTTTAAGAAGTGTATTTGAACTCTATAACTGTTATGAAGATATATAAAAAAAAAACTATGTGACAGATCGCGCTCAAATTTAACATGTAAACATATAACAGCCTGCCAACCTAAGCAAAAAAAAGTATGGCCATATGTCATGTCCATGTCGAGTTATGGATAAAGTCTCGTTTTTATTTGAGCAGAAGGTATATTAAAACTGTTATGAAGCTGAAGTGAGCAGGAAAGCAATGTTTCAGTCTTTAAGAATATTAAAATATAAGAGAAGATATAGAAAAGAGATATCGATTCGTTACAAATTATAACGAACTATTGCGACAATTGATCACTTTAATTGAAAAAAATTTAATTTATTTCTATTTATATCTATTGTAAATATATTTTTTTGAATTCTTTTTCCTTTAATAATAATTTTTTTCGAAAACGATAATTCGAATTAGTTTTCTATTAGTAATAGTTTTCGAAAGCTGAAGCTGAAGACGACTTGATTAAACAATTTTTCAATAAACTCGCATAAGGTTACAGTAGTAGTAAATATAATATAATAACTTTGCACATATTATTTCGAGTTTTTAAAAGTTTTTTGCATTTGACTGCCGAAATTTAATTTTTCCATAATTTATTGATGCGAAAGAGTCAGCGCAATATTAAGCCGAAAATTTTCAAAACAGCTGTAAATCAAAAACCAATAAATTGATAAAAATGTATAAAGTGGTGAATCGAACAAAAAACCTCTAAAAAAGTTTCAAAACTGGCATAATAAAATCGGCATGAAGTAACGAGCGGTTATGCGACTTTAATGCCATTCATTCATACTCTATTGATAAAAAGGACTCTCTCCAATGGCATTTTCTCACACTCTCTGGCAAAAAGGCTTCCCTTTAGTAATATTTCGACACATGCTCTGTTAAAAAATATAACAAACTACTTACCTTTGTGCCGTCCAGTATAACTTAACTCTGTAAAGTACCGACATCAATTATTCACATTAATTGCATTTCGTATGACAAAAAATATATTTTCAATATTTTCACTAGAATTGTAAAAACACTATTTATTTAGTGTTGCGCTCAATAATATTTCGCACATCCGGCTAAAAGTTAAAATATGCAAGTAGAATTACAAAAGACAGTAAACAGCAATATTTGTCAACAATTGACATACATATGTACAATACATACTTGTATGTGGGCACTTCTATTATATTGTATTTCCTACCACCATATATGTATGTATGTATATGTATTTAGCAGTCGGTTAAAGTATAGTACAAAGATGCAATTTACTATTGTTTTGCGAGCAAATGTTGACAAATGGGGCAAATATTAAAAAGCGTTAAATTACTTATAACATATAATATATAAAAAGGGTGCTAATAGCAATAATTAATTAGGAAACTAATGTTATTGCAATAAAGAAAAACTATTAAATAGTGATCGACGTCAAATGTATCTTCCTTTATGTGCTTAAATTATTTTGTTTTATTTATTTGCGGATGTGTTAAGTAATACTATCAATAAACTAACATAATATGCGCAAATATTAATATCATAAAAATACTTCTATTTATGTATAATAGCGATTGATTAATGACACTTTACAAATCTTCTACTACTCGAATGTATTTTTCTTAAAAAAACTTGCTGATAATGACATAAAAATTATAAATATAAAATTTGTAATAACTTAAGAACCAAGAAACTTAAAAAAATTATAAAGAAAGAAACAAGAAAACTATTAACTTCGGCTGCACCGGATCTACATATAACTACATCTGAAAACCGGCTAACGGTTTTCATTTAATAGAAAACGTTTTGCCAGTTCCTTCTAGACACATTATTTGATATAAAACCTGCAAATCGAATTAAAATTGCATAACAAGGATAAAATATCAATGTGAATCAACCTATATGCTATTGTGGTTCGATCTGAAAAATTTGTTCGGAGATAGTCAATACCATTCAAACCCGCTGTTTCTCAAATAGTTTTTTACCGGACTTCCAACATGAAGTCAAACATAGTCATGATATGCAAATTATTGCCACGAGTCTTGTCACAAATTCTGGGTGTTTTTTTGGCAATCACACGCTTCAATTTAATGATTGGTGTCGGTAGCGTTCGCCATTAATAGTTTCACCCAGTTTAAGAAGCTCATAAGACAGCAAGCCTTTCTGAATACACCTAATACAAAGCATTACCTTAGCCTCGTAGATATTCGGCTATGCCGTTTGGTTGGCCTTGTTTCATATATGATCTTTTGCATTTAGTGTTGTTGTAATGGATCCGTTTTTCATCATCAGTCTTAATCCAATGCAAAAACGAGCGATCAAGCAGCATTTCTGACGTGTAAAATCTTGTTTCAACGTCTCTTGGGTTCAATTCATATGGCAACCCCTTTGCCTTGGTTTTGCATGTATCCGGCTGCTTATAAACGTTTTGAAATTGCTGCTTGAGTGACTTCCAAAGCTTTTGCGTACTCTTCTTGTGTTTGGCAACAATTTTGATTGAGTAATGTTCCCAGTTCTTTATCTTCAATCGTCCGCTCAGGACGTGCTTCCGCTTAAAAGCCAAAATCACCAGTTTTACATCATGCAAACCACTTTTGGCACATTCACTCAGTTAGAGCATGTTTACCATTAACTTCCATCAAAATACGATGACTCGCAGCTGATGCTTTCTTTATATTTAAGTAATTATATGATGAAATATTTTAGTTTAATTTAAATCAGCTTTACTTTTTGACTAAGTATTTCGGGTTTAAAATAATAATTCTTTGGATATGCTTAATTTCAAAATGTTTACTAACTACTAATTATCAAAATATTTTTATAAAATTTTAAATAAAACTAATTTTTATTCAGATGAAGTTATTTTCTTTCCTTATTGCATTAAACTAAGTGCATTTTACATCATCAGAACCGAATACAAGTTCTGCTTGTTCGTTTGCTTTTGTTGCAATATAATTAAACAATTGAGTGAAGCATCAAATGACGTTAGAGTGACAGTAGAAGTGCGAAAAAGTTTACATAGTTTATGCAAATGAAAATTTGCACGCACTACAAATATATAAATAGCAATGTACCCAGTAGAAAAAACTATTGACTTTTTGTTGCTGAAATTTGCTAATTTTTTTTAACTATTTATCTAGTTCGTTTTTTATTAATTGTCGACCAAATGTAAAATAACTGAAAAATATTTAAAACACTTTCTTTGAAATAGTAAAAATATACTTTAAAATTGTGCAAAGTTGAATATGTTAGAACATTTAGAAATTACATATAAATTTGAAAGTAACAACTGTAATATAAGAAAAATCTTAACAAAAATCTTATATTTGTTTTCCATTCATCAATAATTTTGTGTTCTTTTCAAGTGATTTTTTATTTCCTACAGGAGACCTCATGCACTGTTATGTGTACGACAAAATCTAAAATTACGACTGCGCACATTTCAGAATAGACATCAAAACTATATAAATACTAACAATGCAATATTAGCCATTGAACTCATTGTAGTTGCAATGTACCATGAAGGCGAGTCAATAAAATGAGCTGCAATGAGAAGCTACCACAAATAAAGGAAAAAAAAATTAGATAAAAGCAATAAAGAGAACTATAAACACGAGGTATAAAAATGTATATATATTTGAATATTTCTATATACTCGTAAGTATATATTGTAAATACCATAATGCCAATACTCGGCATTAAAATCTGAAACCGTGAATATTTCATCATCTTACATTGTTTAGTGGCTTTTCTTTCGTACTCTTCTTATTTCGCCAAATCCTTTTTGTTGTTTTTTTTCTTCTTCGGTGATTCGTTCGCGAAGATGCTGCACTTTTCACTACGTCAGCGTTTGTTAGTGCTCAGCGGCGTTCATTGATGGCAATCATGAGCTTTTTTCCCAAAATTTAATGGCAGTAGCAAGGCTGCTGTTAAGTAATAATGGTTAAAAAATAAAAGAAAGACATTGAATGCAATAATAAAGTACCAATATGTATGTATGTATACTAAGAAATGAAAAACCGCAAATATCGGCATTTTTACCCTAAGGTCTTTAGCAATTGTGTTAAAGTCCAAGGTCTTAATATATTAAATCATATTATTTGTTATACCCTGAACAGCGTATATTTAGATTACTTGGAAATAGACGTCGCAGACCCTAAAAAGTATAAATATATATGAATGATCAGTCTGTCTGTATATACGCAAATTAGTCGCTCAGTTTTTGAGCTATCGAACTGAAATTTTGCACACGTCCTTTTCTCCCCAAGAAGCTGCGCATTTGTCGGAACCGCCGATATCGGATCACTATAGCATATAGCTGCTATACAACTGAACGGTGTGGAATTTTTTTATTTGTGGACAGTATTATATGTAGCTTCGGTGCAAACGAAGTTATCTTTTTTTCTTGTTTGTAATATTTTTTTACCTTGTAGTTCAAAATATACAGCTGTTGAATAATTGGAAGCTTTGCCTTTAAGGTATTCCCTAGAAAAAATCCATTTGGATAGATCTTTTTCTGACATCATTATGTCACACAATTTGAAAACCACACCAAAAATGGCATGAAAATGAAATGACTGTAGGAACATGATGGGAATACTTGCTGGTCACAGTCTAGTCGAGAAGACTGCAGGAAATGTCAAGGGCAACAGACTAGGAAAACAAGCAGGAAGCATCTCTTGTGAACTTGCCCCGAATTGGCAAGGCTAAGCTTTAAGCATTTGGGTATACAACGGTATGAGTCACTGGAAGTGGTATAGTTAGTTAGTGAGGCCGCAGAGTCTGTTGAAATTCACGTCAAGCGCAGGCATCTTAAAAGATGACTACTCTTTATAAACTTCAGAACGTAACGCCATCTGGTATCGGAAAGCACCATAACTGGTCTATGCATGGCTCATTAGCCTTTGAGACTAAGCTAACCAACCCTATATAAATATAAATATTCTGTACGGCTTCTATGACATATATTGTATAATATTTGTAGGTATTATAAATGTATAAAGGCACTACCTACCAGAACGGCTTGAAGTTAAAATGAAATAAACACTCAAATTTGGTCAAAATGGTTTCAGCTTATTTTGTTATGCAAATAATTTTATGCCATTTATGATTTGAACAAAATATCGGCCAAATTGCCACCACAACTCCGTTTGTATATCTCTACTCGCTTACGCCAAGTTTCAATGTTCCTGACGCTATCCTTCGCTAACGTGAGAACGTTAAAATCACGTGAAAGTCGGCATACGATATTTTTATTATTCCTGTTGTGTGCGGATTTTCTATGCTAATTTGAATGCTTTTCTTGTTGTATAATTTGGCTTCATATTTATTTATTTAGGAATTAAATTATTGTCATGTAAGACGCTTTCTTTCTTATATTCTTATATAATATATATATATATATATATACGAAAGTTAATAATTTAATTGCAGACTTTTTATTGTTGTTCTAGCGGTTCTTCAATATCATGAACTTTTCGATTCTTTACATATAAATATTGATGCCTATAGAGAGTTGTACAGCTTCGAATGCATTTTTATGAAATGATATACTAATATTATATGAACTGTCAGATGTGTACAGTTCATATAATATTAGTATTCCATGACAGTCTGACTGCTTGTCTGTATGTTTGTATGCAATTTTCATCCGAGAAATAAAATGCTCTGAATGGTGCTGTTAAAGTGAGTTCAAACACCAAGTACAATGCTGGAAAGCATTTAAACAGTTAATGCATTCAAGCAATTTATTACAAGTATGCATATGTGTATATATGTGTAAACATAACGGTGCTAATATGTATGTGTTTGTGCACCGGCATAAAAGTAACTAAATTAAATATGTGTCTAAGTGGATCTTGTAGTATAGGCCTATGTAAATGCGGGCATTCGCCTTTTAGCGTATGTTGTGCAGCGGATTTCACCTCATAAACCTAAATAGAGAAAAAAAAAAACAGTCAGAAAAATATTTTAAACCACGGCTAGTTTAATATTATTTACAATTATTTCCTAGGACTGAATTGTAGATAAAATAGTGTGAGAAACTGTTGCAACGCTCTTTCTAATATTTTGTTCTTCCTCATACACCTCATTCACCTAAACATTTATGAATCATTTGGCAAGTAGTCGGATCACAACTCTACATCATCTTACTTTGAGAAACTCTGCCGATAATGTGACCCTAACATTAAAGGTAGTTGTTCAGTATAGTTAGTTTAAAAAATACATTACCTACAGAAGCTTCTCGACAACACTTTTGGGCGTTTGATCGCGGCCTGAATATTTTAGGCTGATGGATCGTTCAAGTACTACTAATTGATATCGGAGACCAAACTATGAACTAATTTATGTCGAAATCAAATTTAAACCATCTGAGATGCTGAAAAAAGTATCCGAACATGCAAGCTAGTGGAAAAGAATTCAATAATATACTTGTAGAAGGTATCATTACTGTAAATCTATCGAAAGATGAGAACACGTTAAAACCTTATCTTTCCGCCTACTATCTCTAGCCTTAAGTCGGTTGAGCCAAGATATGTTGCACAAGATATGAACACACCAACATTTTTTTTGAAATATTCTTACACATCGGTAAAAAAAATTGTTGAAAAATGAGAACTATGCAAATGTATCAACCTAATTTTACTAGGAAATGAAGCACTATTAGAATCATGTCTTGTCTTCATAATTTCTTATATTAAGCTGAGCTATTCAACACTGTTATTTATGCATAATATTTGAATTTCACTGATCTATCAAGTCGCCCTCGTACATGCATATGCAATTACTCGCGGCTGATCTTGTATGAACTGGAAACATAAAATAGAGCGCTGCTTATTACGACTATCTATTCATGCGTGTGCAACAGTGCGAATATTTATGTTGCACTGCAAGAAAGAAGCATGGAGAAATTAAATGCGAAAAAAGTGTAAAAGTTTGTTTGTAGCTGGGCATGAGCTTGAACACGCAACTGATTGAGTATGTAGTGCTTTTGATGCATTACCACGCAATTACGTAGAGAAATTACATAAATTTGTATGCATGTATGTATGTGTGTGTGCAGTTATATGTTTGCAGTCATCGGCACATCACTCATGCGTCACGTTTTGGTGTCATTGCCAATGTTAGCTAATATCGAATTTTCCAACCATGTTCTTTTTACAAATATTCTTCGCGATATGCGCCATACGAGTATATTGAAGGCTTCAACAAAAACCACACATACTACCTAACTACTTGTATGTATATGTAAAGCTATTTATGCGAACAGCAGTGTAAATATTTTGATTTATTTGTTAGGTTAGGTTAGTTTAAGTAGCAGTGATTGTTTGCAGAGTAAATACTAAGGGGTGACGACGAAAAAAATACGAAAATGCAGAGAGGAAAATTCTTATACACATAAAGGCCTTTGAGGTTTTCCTGGTGCCATTCCTGGCTCCATAGTGGCTGTTTCAATCCCTTTCAAATACTGTGGTTAAATAGGAAATAACATTGAAATCATTCATGAATACTAATGATAACATGATTACCAGTAGTCAATATCAATTAAGTTTAAAGTCAGCAGATAATTTGGTGAGATGCACTTCGTGTTATTCAAAATACCTTCCAGCAGTTAGTTTTGGTCCTGAAAGTCTCATACTAACGATTTACTCTTTGAAGAAATTCCACGACTCTGGACTGTAGGCTATGTAACACGTTCTCAACCTCTGACTTATATGAGGGTACAATAAATACTGTTACCAGGAGCATTTAAATGTTAAATATTTCAAATTTGATTTCCACAAATTTTGATAAGCATAAGATAATACTTTAGCAAGCAAATATACCGACTAACGGAGAAATTTTAAATTTTACTCTTCACATTTGTAGTAAAAACATTAAGATCTTACGATGTCTCAAATATTAAAGTGTGAAATAAGTTTGTGCGAACAAGAAGAGCGCTAATAAAATCCCTGTCCTTCGTTCAGAGAGGAATTTTAATCCTTTAACCAGGCTCATAGCGAACGCCTTTGGTATCTCCGCAAACTAAGAGGATGTTCACGGCCTCACTGTTAATCGGGGGAAATCAGTATTTTGACAAAAAAGACAAAAATATGACAATTCAACTGTCAGCTTTAAAGATAAGGACTATTGCACTCTGTCAAATATCTTAGGTAATAAATTAAGCTGGAAAGAACATATTGAATGCAGGGCTACAGTAAAAAGCTCGTTGAACATCATCTGAGTACGCAGTCATATAGGAATATAAGGAGATGTAAAGGCAGACAATTAAACCCGCTCAATGGTAACCGTTAAAGCAGTTTCTGTAAGAAGCCTTAGACCATTCAACCGCTTCAAAGGTGGCTACAATCCTTGGACTCTAGAGGAACATCTCAAGTCTTGGAATACCAGCAACGGACATACCAAAAAGCTTATACTTTTAGATGAGAGGGAGGCGCCTTTTTAGTTGCTGAATACATTTTCAATTTTTTCTGCAAATATTAATGAATAATTTTACGCTTTAACAACAGCCCAGTTCAACATAGTTGTCGGTGGTGTACCACAACAAAACTATTTGTACCAGCTCGTAGCCGAACTAGTGAATCTGCAAAGATCATTACATTTACTTATACATATGTACATATGTATATTGCAACGACTCTTTAATTAACGCTTTCTTAATTCTGCTCTCAATTAAAATAAACTCTATAAATAAATATGTAGCTCTCACATCACTCATCCCGCTGTATGGGCATTGAGCCGTGATTTTATTTCTGTTTTGTTGCCGTCTCAGACATCATCAGATTACATTTTCATCCCGACATTTATCATCAGCTTACTTTATTTTGATTTCATACTTTCTTTTTACAGTTTTATGCTTTAGCACAGAGCATAAGTGCGCTCTTCAACTTCATCCACAACTCCACACATCTCTATTTTTCAAAACTCCGTTAGCGATTGCCGCTGCTGCTGCTGCTACTCCGATTTGAACTCCAGCTGCGGCGGCATTGCCATTGCATTTCAAGTTTTTGGAAATTGCTTACATTTCCACACCTCCTGTTGCTCTGCTGCTTTCTTCAGCTCTTTTCTTTGCGATTTTCGTCGTTCGTCGAGCAGGTGTTCAACTCTTTTTTTCTAGTAGCTTACACGATCGTAGCGCGCAGTGCGGAGGGCTATTGGTCCGCCTCACGGCGTTCGCCCCGTCGATCTCTTGGGCGGTCGTTGGCGGTCGCCGTCCGATTTAATGCTCAAATACGCGCTCCGAGTTCCGCCTGTGCGCTGTCGTCGCTCAACTATTTATGATTTGCCTCATATGCTCTTTGTTGTGTCCATTCTGCCAAATCGTTCAGTTTGCTAGCGTCCACTCTTTCGCTGGCGTGTCATCTCACGTTTTTCGCACCTTAACATAAAAGTCTTTCACTTCTTCGTCAGCGCTTTAGTTCAATTTCGAACGGCTTCACGTTTAGAGCCGCAGTAGCGTCAATTTTGCCAACCGTATCATCCGGCAGTGTGGGCTAACGCGTTAGAATCGGTGTGCGCAGGAAAAGACACCAAGACAGCGTTTATCGCAGTGCAAGTACGTAGAAAGCAAAAATCGAAAAGAAAAAAGAGTAAACTACGAAACGAAAAATTCGCTAAGTGTTTATTTGGTTGCGAAAAAAACCGAATTGGGTTCATTGCAAAGCCTGGACGGACTCTATGTGCCAACACATATGTGCCTGTATTCGCTGTGCTTGACATTTAACGCTGAGCAGATTAATCGTACGCTTTACAGACAACACGACACAGCGACGCTTTTGCATTTTTCAATTCACCAGAAATACAAAAACACCAAAAAGAACACCAAAAGCAACAATTTTCACATTGCCTCGATCAACGTTTATTTTTACCTTCCTACTCTCTTTTTTTCAACGTTGCTGTTGCCAACAAAATTTTACTGGTGTTTTTGTTGTTGTTGTTTTCGATAATGTTGTGCGTTGGCTGATCGCGTATCGGCCGAGTGTTGTGAGTGTGCGCGTGTGCGTTGTGCGCTTTACGCGAGAAAGTGAAATTAACGGAGAAATTTTAAGTGACCAACAAAAAGAATTGTGTCTTCTTCAATATTCGTTAAAGAATCGGAAATAAGGCGTGTACGTGTACAGCAGCGGCATAAGCGTGTGGACTTTCGCAGCGTCGAGCAAGTAAATTGAAAACGCGTTTTTGTTTTTTAATTTTCATTAAAAAAAAGCAGAAAAAGTATCAAAATTTCAATCTAACTAAATATAAACGTACATATGTATATAAATATATATTTATAGTAAGATATGTATGTATGTAGATTTGAAATTGTGAAATAAATAATGGTTATTGTTTACCGTTTGCTCAATCGAAGATCTGAAGCTGCACAAGGCCACTGACCCAATTTCCAAAATTACCGGATTATCAAAGAATCGTGTTGACTATTGTGCTTCTGTGCTTCGTGTGTGTGTACAAACCAAAGCGACCATAATAAAAGTGGAAAGAAAGAAAGATTTTATGAAACAAAGTTGAAAAGCATTGGTAATACCACACAACTGCTGTCCGTAGAAAGTGAGTTTATAAGTTAAACTATAGAACTTTTATTTTAATTTTGAGCTATATAATTAAGTAAGGTTGATGTTATTTTCTTGCCAGCACAGAAATTCTGATTGTTGTGCATTATTATTTCATTTGTTTTTATTACGAAATTTTTCCTATTATTTTCGAACAAATTAAGCGTTGCATTTTAAATTTCATTATTTTTGGGGTTGTATTTAAATTTTCGATCAATTTCAACGTTATTTTTTTGATATATTAAATAAAATCGCCGAAATTTAAATTGTATTAATAAATATGTTATTTTTTTGCATTGTGTTTGTGTTTTTATGTATGTAACTAAAAATTTTTGAAGAACTTTATCGATAATTTCATATATTTCTTTGTGAAAATATTCGATTTTTTTAAATTGCATCACTTTCTATGTAAGTAAAATTTGTATAAATTTTTTTACGATAAATTCCAATAGTATTTTCAGAATATTATCGATAAAAATAACAGATTTTTTAAATTCCGTGTTTTTTTAAGGGTTTTATTTTATTTTTCGAACAATTTCTACGTAATTTTTCTGATATATTCAATAAAATCGCCGAAATAAAATTTTTTTAATGTTATTTTTTTTTTTAATAATTTAATTAATAACTTTTTTGCATTGTATTTCTTTTTTCTAAAACTAAAATTTTTCGATAAACTCAATCAAAATTTTCATAATTTATTTAAATTAAAAATAACCTATGCTTTTGAAATATTGCAAGACTTTTTATGCAAATAAAATTTGTATTAATATTTTTCGATAAATTGCAACAGCATTTTCAAAACCCTATCGCTAAACATAATCGGTGGACTATAAATTCCCTGATTTTTTGTGCATTTAATTTTTTAATATATTTAACGAAAATTTTTAGTAAGATTTTCGTCAAAATTTATCGATATTTTGTTAGCACTTTTTCGATAAAAAAAAAACGATATATATATTAAACGCTATAGCATATTTTTCTCTCGTATTTGATCAAAAAATTAATCTTTTCTTAATTTTTTTTTCATCAAAAACTTTATTGATATTTCATAATTTTTTTCGATAAAAATAATCGATGAGTTTTAAATGCATTGAACCACTTTGTTGGGTTTGTATTTGATAACCAATGAAAAATGCAATTTTTGATAATCTTTACGTGTGCTTTTTCGATAATTTGTATCGATATTCGATAACGCTGTTTTACATTTCTAAGCAGCATATGTTCGAATACCGATTTTTGTTTCTCAACAATATTTTGCAATACATGTTACGCAATATAAGTTTTGTCCGTTATACATACGAGTATGTGTGTAATCATGCCTTAAATTCTCTGCATAAAAATTTATATTTTATTTAATTATTTGTTGACTGCTGAAAAATATTAACAGCAATAGCAAACTTTTATCATATAAATCATACATCGTTAAGTATATTTTGATATAGTTATAACTTTTCTTAATTATAAAGGGACTAATTACAAGAATTCTGCTTCAGTAGAAGAAGTTGCAGAAGAGCACTGAAACCTGCTCAACAATCATAAATTTATCCTAACCTCGTAGACGGTTAGTTAGAGGCAGCACGTGTTGGTCTTTTGGCATCTAAAGTGTACATCCTCTTATCTGTTAATCCCCATGCTGGTCCAAGAGTTTGCTAAAGATTAACTTTAATTTAGCTATCCTCTGCAAATCTCTTTAAAATTAGAGCCTTTTGTTTGTCTTTGGAGTTGTACAATGTTATCAATACTGATATACTGTGTGTTCTACCAGAGGGGACACAAAAAATCTATTTGGTAGTTTATCCAAAACTTCTCCGTAGATTTATCGAAGTTTATTGTTCGGAAGTGTTATGTATGAACTTAGATTTAAGAGGCATAAGGCATGAGCATAATAGCAAGAAGTTTTCGAAAAAGCACCGCACTAAAAAAGTTCATGGAAGCGAAATCAGATTCGCGAAAAAGTTAATCAATCACACATTCCTTTCTTTTGATTAACAAATCGTAATGGTTTCCAACGTGTTAATGAATCATAAGTGGTAGTCAAGCAGCATATGTATGTATTTCACAGGGGTTAGCGAAATCTTTCAAGGTTATAACAGTACATACAAGTAAAGCGCAACATAAAGTCATGTATGAAAGCCATGTGCTCAATAACGACAAACTTGTAGATATATATGAATGAATGAACTTATTCATATATGGGTATATATATGTATTAACACATATATATTTATATACAATATATCTTAAGGTATATATACATATAGTAGTACATAGCTTGGTGTATCAACAATTTCACTAAACTTCCATTGAAATTTCAATGAAACTTTCCCGCGCCCAGTATGAGACTTATTTGTGGTGCTGATGCCGTAAATCAAACAACAACAACAACAACAACGTTTAACAAATAATTTGCGACTAAGTAAATAGTGCAGTTAGCACATATTTGTTGTATTTGTTATTGAAATTTACACTTCGAACGGAACGGAACTCTTTTACAACTAAAAGGTAGCTCTATGCAAAAAAACCAAACAAAAAAAAATCAAAAAACTAGAAAAACCGCGACAGAAACATAAAGTATATACACATATATACATATATACTATATGTACATATATGAGTGTTTGCAATTGTGCGTATGTGTAGAAATGACGATTACGCTTGCGCTTGGGATGATGTTATAAAAAGATCTGCCAAAGCGACTGCCGCGTGAGGCACTTTTTGCGCGTTTTGTAAACAAAGGAGCGCTGACACGGCACCGATATACCTACAGACCAATATTTGTGCTTATGTAATCTTGGGATAGCGTAATGATTTAACAGTTAAAAGTTTTACGCTGGCAGCAGGGCGGCAGGTTACACAAGTAATGATTAAATTAGCTGAGTTTTCGTTACTGTTTCTGGAATATTAACGAGCATTTACACTTTACATACATACCATACATACATATGTATGTACATACGCTTTTTTGGAGTTAAGCCCAAAGTATAGTTAAAGGGTTATTGGTTTCTGTTTGCAATAATTTTTTTGTTTTGTCTAAAAAAATTTTAAATGTTGTATATACTGAAAAAGTATATTAACAAACTATTAAAAAAAAAAAAACTAGAAAATAAATAATTTTTAATAAAAACAACAACTCACTATATTAAAAAAATTTGATATTTAACCTTTGTATTTGCACACACTTTTTAAATAAAAAATAAAAATAAGTTTTAAAGTGATAAAAAATTAACAATATAATATGAGTTAATATAATAGAAAGAATAAACAAAATAGCTGAATATAAAAATTACCAAAAAGTAAATTTTATAACACAAAATACGCAAATATAATTTTAAAATTTTAATATATTTTTATATATATAACATATTATTTTAATTTTTTTTTATAATTTTAAATTTATAAAACGATTATCTTTTTTAAATTTAAATATTATATATATGCCATTTTTATAAAACCAGACAATAACAAATGAAACAAGCAAAACAAACTCACTAAAAATAATTTCTTAAAATATCTCATATAAAAGAAAAATATAATAACTTTTTATATAAAATTATTTTTTTTTTGGCTTTTCTTAAAATTATATTAAAAATACATTAATAAACTAAATATTTTGTTGCAATGCATTGAAAAGCAAATCTTATAAAAAAATATGCAAAAAAGCATAGTAATTCATTTTATTTTTTAATTTATTTGTTTTGGTTTTTAATATTTTTTTTATTTTTGTTACTCTTATAACGTCGAAAAATTAAAAATAATATTTATTTTTATCAACACTCCTTTTTTATTATTAGTTAAAATTAAGTATTAAAAAGAAAAATAATAAAAAAAATCAATAAATGTTTTTTTAAAATTCAAATAAAAATATGCCTAACAAAACAAACCAACGTCATTTAATATTTTTTTAATATAAAAAGCAAGTGAAAAGTTATAAGATTTAAAAAGACTAAAAACTTGATCAAAAAATTAGTAACGGTTTATTGGTTTTATTTAATATAAAAGCTAAATATAACTTTTTGTTTGCTATTTAAAAAAATTCTAAATAATTAAGTTTTTAATTCAAATATTTTTATAATTATTGTTATCGCCAAATAAAAAAATTAAACTTTTAAATTAAAAAAATTAAAATGATTAAGTTTTTTCAGATTAAAGAAATTAAAATGATTAAATTTTTGTTATCGCCAAACAAAAAAATTTTTTAAATAAAAAAAGTTTTAAAATAATTAAATTTTTTGACTAACTTTTTTAAACTTAAAACCATTTATGAATTAAAATTGAATTTCTTTCAAAATTTGTAAATCAAACATTTATGTTTTAATACATAGATGGATTTTTTAAAATATTTTTTTTATATATTTTATGTATATTTTACACCTAACAATCTCTATATGGGTATACATATGTGTATGTATGTATATATAAACCCCGATGTGTTATAACCAGGAAAACTGAAATATTTAACTAAAACTTTAACTGAGTCATTAATGTTGGAAGTTTTATATATACAATAGTATATATTTATGTATATTAGTATATACATATATGTGTATATGTTTGTGCATCATTTGTGTATTATATATATGTATATGTACATATATACATTCTTAAATTTTTATATCACCTTAATCAGTTAATTTGTAGTCTTAACTATACTTAACTTATACAAAAAATATTACTTAATACTCGTAAAATATGATTTCAATATAAAAATCAACAGAAAATTTTAAAGCTTTACTATGTACAAACATATGTACATACATATAAAAATGTATAATATAACTCATTTGTATTCGCAAAATGATGGCTCACGTCCTCTGCTGACTTTATCTGCGCTTACGCCAAGCGCCACCATGACTGAGGCGCATCCATTAAAGGCAAAAAGAAAAACAAAAACAGCAAGTGCAGCAATCATTCATCATTCATCAAAAATCGCCAGCAAGTGAGCCAAAAACCGATGCACCAAGCAACCGGTCAAGTAAAACGAGCGCAAGAGCCAATCAATCGACACGTTTATCAGCTCAACTCGATACGGGCAGCAGCCAAACGGGCAATAATGCGAAGCAGACATAAGTGGGCACATATGGAGACATACATAT